AAAAAAAAAGGGGAGATAGATGAAAGAAGAGAGGGGGAGAGGGAGTTAAAGGGAGGAAGGAAGGAAAGTAGGAAGAGAGGGAGAAAGGGAGGGAGGGATGGGATAGACTACCATAAGTACGCTTAGAATTGCATTGGAGCTCCTGCCGCAGAAAAACAAAAAGAAATTCGGTGAACCAGATCTGACCAATACACATCAACCTGCATACTCAAAAATTCAAAATTGATTGACGTTACGCTGATGTATAAAAGAACATGAATTTATGAATTTTATGTCCTTCGTCGGACACATCCGTTTAAATTGCATTTGGAACAATAAAGAGAGGGGAAGATTAGCATTGCCCTTGTGCAAGTATGACTCACAAAAAACGAGAAATGCTCCAATTTCAATTTGGCAATTAAGAAAAGACAAAGAAAAAAAAACATCAATTTAGGTTTAATCCACCACTTTGCCCCTGGGGCAAAATCGCAAAAGTGAAGCAGCATGCACGTTGAAAGTTTGGTGGAATTGTTCCTTTCTCGAGAAGCGCGGCGTGGGTGGGGGTAGGGGTGACTTTCGAAAACCCTTTGCTAGACAGAATTCTACACACGCATTTTCCAAGAGTACCATCTTAACCTGAGCAGAACGCATGGTCATTGTACCTGTATTTGGGGAAGCTTTCAGACTAGAAACGGCTATAACAAGGGTCCCTGTTACATCTTCGACGCCACACGGGTCCTACCGGACCCTACTTAGGGTTAGACAGACACAGTAGGGCCTAAAGGCCCGACCTTGGGGGTACTACAGGCCGTAAAGGCCTTACCTTGGACCAGACCCGGCGGGCAGGCCCAAACGACATTACCGTTTGGGCCTGGCGGCGCTCTTGAGGCTGCCGCCCGCCGGTTGGGGCTGAACCGTCCATCTGGACGGTTCAGGGCAGGGCCAGGCCTCGCAGCATAGAGGCCGACCTCTGCCCACCAGTACAAAAGTACCGGTCCAGCCTCATTGAGGCTATCGACCCACCGGCACGCTACGGTGCGATATGGTACAGAGCGCATCAGCACTGGCGCTATGTTTAGCGCAGGAGCAGCGAGGAGCAGCGAGGAGCAGCGCAGCGCAGCAGCAGCAAGAGAGCAGCAGCAGCGGCGACGGAGTGTACCGGCGGCCACAGCCGCCTGAGGTATCGGGAGTCGGAGGCTTCTCTCCTCCCTCCCATCGCCAGTCCCCTCTCTCTCTCTCTCCTCCTCGGCTCCCTTCTCCTTCTTCTTCTTCTCTTCAGACTCCATCTTCTTCTTCTTCTTCTTCTTCTTCTTCTTCTTCTTCTTCTTCTTCTTCTTCAGATTGGAGACTTATACTAGTTGGACAGAGATCAGAGTKGGAYTYCRGTGGTAAGAGGCTGWGGTACTTACCGGATTCGAGACTTGGAGATTGTTGGGGATGATACTCGGCTGCATCACAGATTTGACACCGGTTACATTAGGACTCTGTATCTCCGACATTGGTGACTTATTGTCCTCGACATTTTGATCTTGTTCGATGACATTTGGGGTTACTATATCGGTGACCTACTGGTTTCTATCTCGGTGACATTCGGTGCTACCTACATCTCCCCTCCTCCTTCGTCTCTCCTCCCACCTCTCATGTATGTGTGTACGAGGTCTGGGCATCGTCTATGCTTGGCCCAGACCCCACCATCTCACGATTGTATGTGTGTGGAGTGATATCTATGTGAGTCAGTCCGTTTATCAGACTTCCGCTGCATATATGCTCATCCTACATTGGTTGATCTTTGGTTCTGCCCATACTCATTGAAGTATGTAACCTGAGCAGAACGCGTGGTCATTATACCTGTATTTGGGGCAGCTTTCAGACTAGAAACGGCTATAACAAGGGTCCATCTTGACCTGAGCAGAGCGCGTGGTCATTATACCTGTATTTGGGACAGCTTTGAGACTAGAAACGGCTATAACAAAGTCGTTTCTAGTCGGGGCATTCTATTCGGGTGAAGAGGGTAGTGCCAGAGTCTGAAAACGATGAAAAGCACTCTTTTCTCAAATTCTCCACTCTAGGGCTATAGTCTTTCTTTGCTCAACCCTCATCATCATGATTCATGACTGTATTGGACCAGCAATGTAGCTTGGATACATTCATGATCCGGGTGTGTTGTGCGCGGGGGAAGATGGGACTGGAAAATCAGCAGTCAGGGTTTAGGGTTTAGCGCGAGCTTTGGGGCACAATGAATTTTAGGGTTTAGGGGATAGGGGTGGTAAAATCTAGGGTTTAACCCTAGATTTGCCAAAAGGGGTGGTGAAATCTAGGGTTTAACCCCTAGATTTGCGAAAAGGGGTGGTAAAATCTAGGGTTTA